ACCCATGCAGCCCGTGACAGCTTGCCAGAACTTGGTAAGCGGCCCTCTGCCTGAAATAATTGCCCACCCCTGTCTTACAGGTTACCTTTAAACCAACATAAAGTTACTTACAATGGGGGCATTCACATGTTAAAGGGTATTAACTTGTGTTAAGTACCCACTAAATGTTTTAAAGTTGTGCCACTTCAGGTGAGGGTTATAGTTTCATAGTTTGATAGATTCATAGTTTGTAGTGTTGGAAGGGACTTGAGCAGATCATCAAGTCCGACCCCCTGCCTTGAAAGGAAAAAGTACTGGGGTCAAACGACCCCAGCAAGGTGCTCATCTGATCTGTATCTCTGATCTGTTTTGCCCAGATCATTCCAGGGTATTGTTAGTTTGCTCTAAGGAGCGAAAACACTATTTTCATTCCTCCAGCATCCCAGAGTACACCATTCTCAGCTCTTTCCACTTCTTTGCTCCATGGGCAAACTTTCAACCATCCTGAACTCTAGTGCCCAGGGGGTGGTACTGGTCCCATGCTAACACCCCTTGCCAGCTCCAGGAGGTGCAACCCCAGCACAGCCTGACCACTCTGAGCACCAAGGTGCAGCCTACCAGTTTGCTGCTTGCTGTAGCACCCTGGGCAAACAGCAACAGCAATCCTACTACCTACCTCCATGAAGAGAATGAGCCAAACAATAGAAACTGTTCTCAGCTGGGTCTCAGCTCTACCGTGGTGTAGCATTCATGCAGTGAGCCAGTCAGCTGTGTGTCAGCGCTGCCCTGGTGTGGCGTGCATGTAGTGAACCTTTTGGGTCTCAGCTCTGCACTGGTGTGAGTGCTAACTCAACTCCCCCTGGCCCAATCCCAACTCCATGAAATACATGCAAGACTTTGGTCCTTTTATTTATTTATTTTCTTTTTTTGCTCCTTTACTTTTCTTTAACTTCTCCCCCATTCCCATTCACTTCAAACAGTTCTTTTTCAAGAGTTTCCCCCTCCCACCGATGGCTGTGGAGGGGGAAAGCCACAGCTTCCATGGTGGTTTTATTTGCCTCTGAGCTACATGCCACCCTCTCCCCTCCTTTCCCACTCCAGAGGAGGGACAGAGTTCTGGCTCCTGTCCATGCTGCATCTGCCCACCAGGCTCTCTAGGGGCAAGTCACAGTTGTGCAGGTTTGAGCCAGCGTTAAGCCTTAACCTATAACTGCTCTGAAACTGTTCTGACTTTATGACGGCCTAACAATCCACAGATTTACAGTGTTTTAAAGGTAACCTGTAACAGCACCCTGAATCTCTAATTCTAAGGCAGCAAGCACTGCTCCCCATTCCATGCTGATAGACAGTCTCAAACTGTCACACAAGATCCAAGTAAACAGGAGAGAATCTTGAGAGGAGACTGGTGGGACAGTAAGTTAGTGAGCTTGTTTGGACCCAGATCATCACCCTGACACCAGAGTATGTCTACAGCATGTTCTGTGCACGGCTGGCTACCACTGAAGAAGCAACTCTGTCTACTCCTGCCTCTCTGCACATGGTTCAGCTTGCAGATGTACAATGGAAATGACTTGGCCTGGTCCCAAGAGTGTATCTCAGCACTATGCTTCAGCTTTGTTACACTGGCTTCCCTATGAAGGCTACCCGCATTGGGGGGAAACCTGGCCTCTGCAGGCTTCTACTCCTCATCCTGTCTGTATTAAGTGCAGAGACTGGTTGGTGCTTTGGAGCAGCTACCACAACTGAGCTGTTATACATAGTTGGGGATTATTTCTCCTTGCATCACTGCAGGGCAAGGTCCACAGCCAAGTTCTTGGCCTGCCCTTACTTGACCACAAGGACATTCTGCCCTTTATTTGGCTTATGGCAAAACCACAATTGTGCCTGTGGGTAGCAAACAAACATGTATTTGGTGGTATATGGGGTGAGGTTTGTAGTCTGGATTGTGCCCACAAAGACAATTTTCATGTATCTAGGCAGGATTAGTGGCCTCTTCTCAACCAGTTTAGGGATGGAATAAGGAGTTTTGGCTTGGTAAGAATAAAGAGCATCGGCAGCATCATGGAAAGGAGCGCTTTGATTTCATTTGTGTTTCCATCCTATTTGCATTGGTTTAGTATTTGAATGGATAGAAAAGTATAAACTGGTTCTGTAAGCATTTGGGGCCAAATCCCATCAGCTGACGGGGCTCCCAGGCACAGGGGAGCACCTGGCCACTTGTTCAATTAATGGCATGATAGGAACAAGCCACAAAGTTATTACACATTTTTGTGGAATAACTTTGTAGCATATTCCTTACTTTATCACACCATTAATTAATTAAGTGTAACATGTGGCAGGGGCCAAAGAGAAGGTGTAAATGGACAGTTCTCACAATGGAGGGAGGTAAGCAGTGAGGTCCCCCTACAGGTCTGTCCTGGGGCTTTTGCTGTTTAACTTATTCATAAATGATTTGGAAAGGAGGGAGATGGCCAAGTTGGTATCGTCCACAATTCTGTTCGGGGTGGAAAAAAACAAAGTACTCAGGAAAGTATTGAGCTTGTGTGGATAGTTCTCTGAAAACATCAGCCCGGTGTTCAGTGGCCATCATAAAGGCAAATAGGATGTTAGGAATCACTGAGAAGGGGATTAAAAATAAAACGGAAGAAGTCACTATGCTGCTGTATAAGTCCATGGTAAGCCTACACCTTAAATACTGTGTCCTGGTCCTCCTGCCTGAGTTCTGGTCCTTCTACCTACAAAAAGATATAGTAGAACTAGAAATGGTTAAAAGAGGGGAGGGGCGGGGCAGAAGAAATGATGAGAAATATGGGGAGGTTTCCATATGAAGAGAAACTAAATAGCTTAGAGCTTTTCAGTTTAAAGAAAAAAATGCCTGGAGGTGGAAGAGGGGAAATGATAAAGGATTATAAAATCATGAATGGTATGAAGAAAACAACTAGGGGTTTACGGTTTAACGTCTCTGACAGTACTAGAATTAGGAGATGCTCAAGAAAATAATTACGAAGCAGGTTTGAAACTAAGGAACAGAAGTTTTTTCACACAGTTTGTCCTGAGCTTGTGGAATTCATTGCCACAAGGTGCTGGAGTGGCTGACAGTGTAACCAGGTTCAAAAGAGGATTGGATAAATTCATGGAGGATTGACCCATCAGTAGATACTAAACATGATAGCATCTCCAAGTGAGGAGTTCCACTTCTAAATGCTGGAAGCTGTAAGAGGAGATGGACAGATCAGTTGGGATGGGCCCTGCAATAAATACTCTTCCCCTTAGCATCCGCTTTGTGCCAGTGTGAGATGCTGAATGCTGGGCTAGGTGGACCTGTGGTCTGATCTTGTATATCACCTGATGTAGTTTAACAGCCATTTGACAAACTGGATAAACAGCACTGGGAACATTTGGGTAGGAGCCCAGGTTAGAATTCAGGGCTCTGGTCATCCATCTCACTGAGCTACACACCATCTATCTTGTTCTCCTCCTCCTGCTCCCACATCTCTTTCTCGGCTGCTTGGGGGGGTATCTTCAAGAGGAGGGCTGGAGAAGGGGCTAGGTAATGCCTAGCTTGCGGCCTGGTGGTTAGAGCACTCCTGAGAAGGAGATGGAAGTTCAAACCCCCTCTGGGTGAGGAGGCCTAGAACTGATGTCCCCAGTTCTCTGGGCAAGTCCCCTAGCCACTAGGCTAAAAGGTGGGCAAGTCACCTCCTCCTCTGCCATTTTCCTCCAGCAAATATGCTTGCAAGGTGAACTTGTTTTGCCACATGGAGAAAGAGAATCCCAAACTGTGCGGGAGTGCCAAAAATTGCCATTGTGTGGCTGCCTACTTGCTATTTAAATAGAATGCAATGTATGTGCTCCAGTTCTTATCCTGTGACCATCATCTCTAAGGTCCCTGGCCAGTAACTTATGTCTGCAGCAAACTACATTGCCAACAGTATTCCTGGCCAGAGGCTAATTCCTTAGGATTTGCACTGAATGGTTGCTCTTTGCTGTTTCTGGCATTCATGGGACTCTTACAGGGATGTCTTTGTTTCTCCCTACAGACAACTCTCCAGACATCACCAGCTGGCCATCTGGCTGCTTTTCAAATGTTTAACAACACCTACAAACTCTACTCTTACAGGTGAGGCCAGGGGAAGAAGAGGGAAATGCTGTTGCATCAATGAAGCCCACATGCTTTGCTGAATGAGGGCCTTGGGGAGTGACTGGCTTTGCCTCTGCAAGACCTGGAGGGAGTGTATGTGGCCAGATTCAACTAGCAGTGATTGTGCTTCAGTTCCATCTCACAGGCTTCGATACCATTGCTCTGCAAAGCATGCGGCCAGATTGTCACTGCGCTCCTTGGAAAACATCTGTGGGCATGCAAGGAGCAGCAATGTGAAGAACATCCACATGGGGGAGCCATGAAAAAATGCTTATGCCCTGGCAGCATGTCTCCTGCCAAGCTGCTTTAACATGCTTTGCTCTGTTGGAAGCAATGATTCCTTGTTTCCTCTTTCTAATGTGTGTCCTTTGGTTGTTATATACCAGTTATTGAAGCCTGGTGTGGGTCTGAGGTTGGCCAGTGGGAGCTGAGTGTCTGAGCTCTGTAAATCTCTTGGCAAACCCTGTTGGCTTCTGAGTCAGTGCAAAGCTGAGAAGTGCAGGGCTGTAGCTAGTGCCTGTGAGGCTCATCCTGTCCCTGAATGCTAGCCAGTCTGACCACAGAGCCTTTTCTCCTTTGCAGTTACCTGGGACTCGGGTTAATGTCGGCAAGGCTCGCAATATTAGGAGGAGTTGAGGGAAAACCCTGTAAGTGATAAGCACTTCTCAAGACTGTCTGGGAGCTCATACATTTCAGCAGCTCTGTGGGCCATAATCTCTGAATGATGTTGGGCTGGGGTGAGGGTGGGAGGGGTGGGGGCATTATTTGCCTGCTTCTCTTGGTATACAAGGACATTTCTATGGGCATGTCACCCTTTGAGATGGGTAGGGCTGAGGGTACTGTGGGCAGAGTGAGTCATGAGTAGTTGCCAGCTCATTTAGGAGAAGGGGGTGTCTGTGTTGTAGGTGGGTTTGGAGTTGCTTTGCTAAGGCAGTAGGAGGGTCATCTGTGGGACTGGTGTTTGCCTGTGATGATGGGAGGAAAGATCAGTTGTTGGTTCCTCATCATTTGTCTTAATGTTGTTTCTTCTGTTTCCTCCTTTTGCAGTAAAGGAGGGTGAGGAGCTAATTAGCTCTTGTCTGTCACCTGGCTTCAAAACTGAGTGGGAACATGCTGAAATCATGTACAGAGTTAAAGGGCAGAAGGCAGGTATAGTAACATGGGCACCTCTCCATTTTGTGACAGATGTGCTGGTTAGAGTCCAAGTAAACTGCCCTTACTTGTGGCATCTCAGTCTGCTTTGAGGTGTTCACTTGTGCCATTATCGTGCCTTATTCTCTCCAACTTTACTTTCTCCTGAGGATATTCTTTTCCAAAAGATCTTACAAAATTCTCCCCCCTTTGCCCCTGTTGTTTGCCTCAGTGGGTGTGTCTATATGTGCAATTGGTGCACATGAATAAACTCCAGATCTTATTGCTCCAAAGTTTTTTGCTCCCAGGCATGTCATTTGAACATGCATTGGGGTACAGTGAACTCTGGAGCCATCAGCTCTGGAGTTTATTCACATGCAGCACATGGAGCCTGGTTGGAGCAGCCCCATCTGGTAGAAGGCCTCAGGGGTCAGCCTCCCAGCCTGGGGATGTTCTGACCAGCCAGCCTGTCCACAGCATACTGAGCTGGGGCACAAGGGTGCTTCACTGACGGGCTAGCTGGCAGGCAGCCCCTGTGCTGAAGCACCCTCATGCTCCAGCCAGCCAGATCAGCATCTACATGTGCGCTGCTGCACATGAAAAGCTTTGCAGCAGGGTAGTACTTGTGTTTACGGTCCCTCCCTGTCCAGGAGCAGCAAACTGTACAAGGTCATGGCTCTATACAGATGTGGAACAGAATAACGTGAAACTGTTCAGCAACATCCCTTGCCAAGACATTCAGCCATACATCTCTGTACCTTAACCCTTGACCAGAGTGTTCTCCTCTGCTGCCCTGTGCAAGGGCTTGCTCTTTGTTTGAGCTCAGCAGTGTATTTCTTGAATCACAGATTCCTTTCTGTAAATCCCACCTTCCCCTTTTTCTTTCTCCTTAGTCACCAACTCTTGTTATCTACAGTGCAGCTCTGAAAATTGCTCAGTCACCTGCATGGGGTAGGATCACATTCTATCCTGTGCGCTGTCCTAGGGAATAAACCTCCCTTACTACCTTGCTCTAGTGCCCCCCATTTAGCAACCTCCTGTGCATAAGGAGGAGCAAACTTACACACTCTGACAAGTGAGCAGGAGGAGGTGTACTGTTAATTATACCAGTCCACTGGAAAGTGTTTGTTGTAATAGGTGCTATAGTCTATAGTGGTCTGCCTGTTGCTCCAAGGAGAAAAGAGTCCAGTGGTTATCAAGCTTTTTTGTACCAGGACCCATGTGTAAACATCAGTGACCAGTCCTACTGCCCCTCAACCCCTGGCCCCAGTCCCCCAGTGTGTGGGGTGAGGGTGGAGGTGTGTGGAAGAGATGGGGGACCCCAAGCAGCCTCTTGTAAGCTGAAACTCTGTCAGCCTGCAAAGGAAAAGTCATGATTTCCCATGTTTTTTCTCATATAAAGGGGAATCCATTTTTAAAGCATGTTGATCTATTTTTATGATTTGCTTACCACCCTTTCATATATTCTTGCAAACTGCTTTTAGGTTGCAACCCACAGGTTAAGAAATGTTGCACTAGACAGTGCAACTGAGTCAGAACCTAAGCAGGGTTGCAAACTAATTCTCTATCCCAGGGGTGACCAGCCTACAACATGGGTCCCACAGGTGGCATAGGCAGCCTATGTGCATGGCATACAGCAGATTGTGGAGGAAGCAGGTAGCACAGTGTCAGACAGAGAGAGTTGGGAGCAGAAAGGGAGTGATACTTGGAGAAGGTGCAGGACTAATTTCTGGCATGCCAGCCAAAAAAGTTGGCCCCCAGTGCTCTAACCCATATATCAGACCCATTTCTTTTCCTGATGAAGACAGTGAATTTTGAATTTATTTGAGAAGGAGGAGGCTATTCACATTTCAGTGGTGCATGAATGATGTGTAGTAATTTGGGGATCCCTGTTGTACTAAGGAGGGGCCCTGAGACTTTACAGACCATAAGGGATTTGTGTTTAATCCCCAGCATGTCCCTTGTTGTGTCTCTTCTTTTCTTTCAGGGGAGCCTCTGTACGAGTCTTGTTCTAACAAAGTAGCCAAAATGCTCTACAAGAAAGTGTACAAAGCAGAAGAAGTGAAGGACTTGGATTTTTATGCTTTCTCCTATTACTATGACTGTGCAGCAGAAGTCGGCCTCATTGGTAAATTTGTATCTGATTTTCTTTGTATCATGATGGCAGATACTGGGAGAGTTTCCACCTCTTAAATGCATCAGAGTGCTTTGCCTAAAATGAGGAGGGATCAGTGGCGACGTGTAGGAGGTGCACCCTTTGAGAGCACTGGTGCACCCCCTGACCAGCTACGCTTCCTGCTTAGGCAGTGGGCAGAGGGGGCATGTGGGAGTGCCAGTGTCCCCCCTGCGAGCACCAGCCAGGGAGTGGGAGCACCGGACATAGTGCCGCGGTCACTTCTGGAAGCGCTGGTTGGTGAGTTTTGCTGTGGGGGGACCCCTGACTAAGGTGGCACCAGTCACCCATGGCAGGGATAATGCCATGCTAATATACACTGATATTCTCTTTGAGGATCAGCTAATCTGAGATTTTTTTTAGAAAGAGAGGCATGGGGTTTGGAGATTAGATTTGAAACTGCTTTAACTTGCTGGGTTTTATTTTTTATTTTTTAATGTACTAAGTAAATTTCAAAATTTGGTAGTTTCCTTTTAAGGTTTTAAGACCAAAACTTTAAGAAAAGTACCTGCTTAAAGTTGGGCTTCCCTCACCATAAAAGTAAGTGGAAGCTTTGCCTCTGATTTCAGTAAGGGTAGGCCCCTAGGGCCTGATCCTCAAACACGCTTAAAACCCAGAATCTACAATGGCCTTCACATAAGACATTTTTTTTTTTTTTTTTTTTTTTTTTTTTTTTTTTTTTGCCTCTAGACAAGGAAAAAGGAGGTAGCTTAACAGTCAGTGATTTTGAAACTGCAGCCAAGTACGGTAAGTAAACAACAATGGCCAGAATTTTCACACAAGACTAGTAAGTTGGGATGTCAAAGTTTTTGAAAGAGGCAAAACTGAGATATCTTAAAGCCTGATTTTCAGCAAGCGTCGAACACCAATTGAAATCAGGGCTCTTCAAAGTGTCTCATGCTGCGCACACAAAAGTTATGGGACTTTTTGGAAATCTTGGCCACTTTTTACTCTAACATCTCCTGTTTTCTGCAGTCTGTATAATACTGTATTTCTTGCATACAGCACTGCCCTTTCCCCCAAATCAGCCCTCCAAAACTGAGATGGATGTCATAAGCAGAGAAGCTGATTTTCTTCACTGGAATAGAAGCATGAAGATACTGCTTTGCAAAATGGCTGCCAGCTTCCCTCAGCAAGCAAGCAGGGAGGGTTAGAAACCTCTTAACCCTTTCACAGCTGCTCGCAGCTTGCTGGCTGAGACCAAAGTTGGCAGTAGTTTTTTAACACAGCTTCTCCATGTAAAAGCCAATTCTAAGCAGAAGTACACCGATATATAGGTTGCCTATCGGATCGGTATCAATAAAAGGGGAAATGACATTATTGGCTAACAGCTTTTTTTTTGGCCATTATAGCTGATAATGTTTACCAAAAATTATATCTTCTAGCCAGGGCCCTGGACAACTGGTTTCCCTCTCCCCCATGGGGCCAGGGCCTCCAGACTCCTGGGTTCCTTTGGGAAATGGCAGGTTTTCCCTTGCAGGCAGGCAGCATTCTAGCCTGCAAGGGGCTGCTTGGGGCTGCTGGGAGTGAGACACAGGGGATGCCACGTGCATGTGTGCAACTGCACATATGCACACAGCCAGGAATACAGCTGGGCAGCATGGAGAGCAGTTCCCTACATGTAAGTCTATGGAGGGGAAGGAGTGTGGGGGTGGGAAGGCAGATTGAGGCCTCCAAGGTGAGGGAGGGAGTGGGGCAGGGGCTGGGGGGCACTGCCCAGCCAGGGCAGTGCATGAGACCTGGGGCTGGGGCAGGGAGTGGCATGGAGCCACAGGCAGCTCATTTAGCAGGCCCTGAGGGGTAGCTCCCTGCCATTGTGCTTGCCCCCCAAGGGAGGCCTGGGGAGCATGTGCCCCCCCCCTCCAAGTTTGTGCATGGGGTGGATGCGGGCTGTGAGCTCAGGGCTCTCCATTCTGCTGCCTTTGCCTCAGGAGCCCCATGTTGACTGCACACCTCCTGCCCACCCCAGCAGCAATGTGGGTGGCAAGTTGTACCCCCTGCTGCTGGGTGGGCAGGGGATGTGCTGCTGGCGCAGGGCTCCTGGGGCAAAGACAGCAGAGTGGAGCATCCCAAGCCCAGTGGGCAGCCTGCATCTGCCCTCACCTCCCTCATTTCTGCTTTGCTTAAAAGCATCCCCACACTTTAAAAATGGTGGTGGGGGCACTTGAACTAAAGCTTGTTTGACGCGCTTTAGTTCAAGCACCTGTGCTGCCATTTTTAAGCGCTGGGACGCTGATGCATGTGATGCAGAAGGCTGCTGGATCGTGCCCCGCCCCCCCCCCCCCAAAAAAAAAGAAAAGAAAGGTTTAGTTATGTCTGTACTTTAAAATGCCTTGCCTTGCATTTTAAAGTAAATTGGTTATTGGATTGGCATCAGCCGACACAGTTAATAATTGGTTATCAGCTTTGGCCAAGAAAATCTTTATTGGTGCACCCCCAGTTCTAGGCTGTGAATCTGGGGGAAAAAACGTCTTTTTTTTTCATTTTGCCTTCCAAAAAGAAGGCGTGTCTTATTTGTGGGCGTGTGGTATCTGTAAAAATGTTATATTTCTGCTGGTGCTAGTACCTTTTTTGAGCTCTCTTGTAATAAAATGCCAGTATACTGGATTATAGATCGCATAGGATGGTTTGGATAAGGATGATCCTGCCTCAGGCAGGGGGTTAGATAAGATGACCTCTGGAGATCCCTTCCAGCCCTACTTCTCTCTGATTTTTTTTGAACAGACATGCTGTTTAACAGTTATTTGAAATATATGATTTTCACCTATGTGAATTGTGCTTTTAATTTTAGCAAAATCACTTCTACTCTAATTTTTCTTTGTTTTTTTCCCCTCAAGATTCATATGACCGAAAATGACCTGGAAAGAGGACAAATTGATTTGTGCCTATATCTGCCTCTTTCTGATGCATAAAAACAAATGTCTAGATGGTTGAAAAATGTAAACATGCTTGTTTTCATACAAGAAATGTAGGTCCTAACCACCCAGGTTTTTCTACAAGATTTTATAGATAACTGAATAATTGTTATTGTCTTGACATCAGAAATGCCATTCAGATTAAACCTGATAAACTGGAAAGGAAATTATTTTTATTCTACCCCATTAAATCTCTCTGATTTTGGTAACATTCAAGCAACTGAAATGGTTTAGAAACACTTGGGAGAAAAGGTGTCTTTGTGCAATATTTGGCATTCTAGGCCTACCAGGTAAAGGCTGGGATTGTCCACAGTCCATGTCTGTTGACAGTGTCAATAAGTTATTAAATGAGTTGTAGCTCAGGAAAGCTTGTGCTATATGTATCTAATTTAGTCTATAAGGTGCAAACCTACTCTGACTTTTACTTGACTCCAGACTCACGCAGCTAACTATGTCTCACTGTCTAAGTTATCCAGTGAAAAACATAAAAGATTGGGCTCAAGATTCCTGATGTTTTGAAGGTAGATGATGATGACAGATTGGTAAAAGCTTTTGGGGTCCTTTTGATACATCTATTGAGAAGTAAAACTAATCATAATAAAAAAACACAAAAAAGTTAATTTTTTCAAGTTAACTTTTACAAGCCATGTCATAAACTGTTTTATACACACAAATAAACTACTAGTATCCAAAACTGATTGAGCAGTTGGGTAAATATTTTGGCTGTCTACAAAGTCATTGTATGTAAGAATCTGGCTGTGAACGTCAACACTTGTTTTCCTGTTTGGGGAGCTATTACAGTAAGCAATACTCCCTGCTCACTTAAATGTTACGGTACCAGGCAGAAATGTTTACATACCAGAACAGTCCTTTAAGATCCAAAGGTTCTTTCAGGGTCTCTCCCCCTTAGGGACTTGTTCGCTAGCCTGGTAAGAAATGTGGGGGAAGCTGAAATGGCTCTCTTTTCTTTTAAAAGTTCTCAACTAACAGAACAGTGACTTTGGAAATACATATTATCACCTGTGTCAACTCCTTAGAGGGGAGGTTCAGGAAATCCTGTATCAGGATTTTCAGAAGTGGGAGATTCCTGTGCCCATGTTTAGACCCCTAAATAAATTATCTGCTTTTCAGGTCACTTGAGTCCTAGGTGTTGGAGCAATTCTGAAAATCAAAATACTTCCTTCAGCTCCAGCATATGGGCTCAGGTGCTCAGCCTTCAAGCAGTCACTTAAAATCTTGGCCTCTGTTTTTCTTCTTCCTGTACCCTCTGCTTCCCCCCAGGCACAGCAAGAATGAACTCATGTGCCCAAGCAGTTTTAATAATTCATTCTATAATGGAAGGCTGGATTCCCTCTTTCTGTTTCTCTTAGTGTGTAAGACCATGGAGGTCAGTCCTGGAGACAATCCTTTCCTCTGCATGGACCTGACCTACATCAGTGTGCTGCTGCAGGAGCTGGGCTTCCCAAAGAGCCAGGTGTTTAAGGTACTATCTCTCAGGACTGCATTTGGAATGAGTTGCTGCTCAAGCTCCCAGCATTGTAACAGTGTGTGATTAATTTCTATCCTTGCTTTTTCCAGCTCGCCCGAAAAATTGATGATATTGAAACAAGCTGGGCTTTGGGAGCAACATTTCATTATATTGACTCACTCAACAGGCTGCAGTATTAAAGCTTCTTAGTCCCGATTCTCAAAAGTGGCCTTTGAGAATCACAAGGGTTGGGAACCCAATGGAAGTTGCCTGAACAGGCACCCTTTTTGCTGATCAGACTCTTTAAAAAAGACTGTCTGAAGCTGGGCAATCAACACCACTAGCTACGTCTGGCAATGCAGATCATGGCAGCTAAACATTTGACCCTTGACCTTATAGCATCCTCAGAATATTCGATATGAAACCAGTTCATCAAGAAACTTTAGAATTTGCTGTGAGACTTTCCTCACAAAGCTGCTACAATCTCTGTGAGAAAAATACACCTTTACAGCACATGCCAACGTCACTTTTGCTCATGCTATGCTGACATCGATGTTAGAAATAGCCACGCCAGATGGGACTCTGTTATTGTTCTGAATTGAAAACATATTTTGGTTAATGGTCCTCAGTGAATTTTAATCATTTAAGTATTTTAAAATTAACTTATGTGTGTAGGGATGCCTTTGCATAGCCAAACTGCCAGCAGGAGAAGCTGTTGGCTTTGAAATATAGTTTGGGATACTTGACTCTGCTGGAATAAGGTGGAGATTTTTTGCTTCCTTAGAGTGTAGTGGAAGAGCGGCTAAGGTGTTCTGCTGCAGTTCTGGAGGTGTGAGTTCAATCCCTTCCCTGGACTCATGCTAAAGACTACCCTAGCTGTAAATAGGGATTTGGTTTTTCAGGCTGGGGAATCAAAGATGGCCAGATATGATGTCAGCTGTATTGCTCTGTTGGCAACAGAAACTGGCATGCCTTGGGCATGCGAGCCTGGGGTGCCCAGATGAACCTTCCTTTTGCACCCCATTCCAGCAAAGTGTTGGGATATTGTGCAGATGACAAGCACATGCTTAAAAGATTGTTATAGTCTATGGGAGGCCTTTGACTCTGAAGTGCTTTAAGTAGTTGCTGCTGGAAGTGAGGTTGATTGAACCCCATGTCAGTCCTCACCTGCCATGTGGCTTGACTGGAGCTAGGGGAGGTGGGGAGATTGATAGGGAGCTTCTGCAGAGCATACCGTTTCTTCTAACCCCCCCCCCCCCCCCCCCC